TGTAACAACAGTAGAGTAGCAGTGACTCTTGTGGTGGGTGAAAGAGACAGAACAAGAAAAAGATAAAAGTGTAGAGTAGCCAATGCTGTCAAAGCAGCCACTGAGACGATTAATCTGGATCCACGTGTGCTCTGTAAAACTCATTGTGGGTATTAAAAATATAATGACATTTTTCTTCCTTTCTGCAAAAGCAAACACAGACAAATGTTGCTTAGGAAAGAGTACAGGAAGGTGTTAGCTAAGAGAAATGAAGAAATTTAAATACTTCCTTTCAAAACAGAAGCTGCAGCTAGTTCTACCCCCACTTCTCCTCCCTATGTGCACTGCAGCAGTAATTTGCTGCTTTTCTAAAGAGCTATTTGGTCACTTAGGCAAATGTAGAAGGAAGGCATTTATTTTCTTCTTGTTCGCTCAGTTAATGATGATGTATTCTGTGGAAGTAATGCCAGCTGTAACAAATGGATGTTGATTCTGTGATAAGGTAGGAAATTAAGCCTGTTCAGTACACATATAAAGAGGAAACTCCCATGATGGGCATCCAGACTATTAAAAGAACATAGCTACTAAACCAAACCACTATCTCTGAATTAAGAGAGCTCCAAATTTAGAAGGAGAATAACTGGAAATTAGGAACTAATATTGTCTACAAGCTATTAAAAGTTACTATTCCAAAAAAAGAAAGAAAATTATTTTGTAATGAGCAGAACTGCATCTTTCAAGGGGTAATAAACATGTCTATTTCCAAGAGAATCAATGTTAGGTGAGGACGACCAGATTGCAACCAGGACAATCTAAATTTTACTTTAATGTTAACATAAACTTGTAAAGAGCTACCAATCTGTGAAGTGTTAAGAAACGTCCCCTGAACAATTTTTAAATATTAATTAAGAGGAAATACAATAACTAGGGACAGGGGATGCAGCTACACTGTAGAAATGATGCATTTGATACCAATTTAAGTGCTGCAACTCTAGCCTATAACATTCTGAAATTTGTTGTTTTACAGGATCTTTAGGCTCTCTGCCAAAGAGTGCTGGTGCCTCACAAAACTACAGATATCAGGATTCTTTAGGATAAAACCATGGCCATTAAAGTGGTATCAAACTGCATTATTTCTACAGTGTAGATGCACTCAGGGACAGGAAGCCACACAGCTTCTTAAATCATATCCATTCCTTCCCCAGTCTTGCATCAGTTTTGCACCATCTCACTTAGTTTTCCTGTTGAGGCTTTTAGTTGTGTTCCTTTTGTTTTTAAGGTTTTCATGCTTAGTTTTAAATTCTGTAACTTGTTGTTCTGTTCTTTTACACAATCATTTGGGAAGCCCTCACTGTAATCATAAATCAGTGCATTTTTTAAAAAATGGATTATAAAAGATATGTCATAACAAAGAGCTCATAACCAGCACAAACACAATATACAAAATCAGGAATTGTTAGTAGTCACTGAAAAAAAAAAGGTAGGAAGTAATTACTCTAGATAAATAAATATGGTCTTGACAGATCAGCCAAATATTGCATATCAAAAATAGGCTTCCTTGCTCAGCCGTAAGTGAACATAGTAGGAAAAGCAACTCTGTAACCATTCTTCACAAGGCAGAAAAAATAAATCTCTCTTCCTGCAAAGATATGTTGTCACCATAGTTCAAGATCCAACTAGCCACAACGTTTCTTCCTGTGTAGATTATATCTTCTTATTCCATGGGAATGATCCCTTTTGCATGGAAACTATTGTCACCCCGCCATCTTGTCTAACACAGAGACTCTCATGCTGAATAGTATGCCAATACAATACAATATTAAAGCCTCTTTGCCATCAGCTTCAGTGGAGATTTCAAAGGTCTGGGAAGACACAGTTAGGGCCTTTACAGACCTACCTTTTGGGGTGGCACAGAGCCACCCTTGGGAGCAGCGAATCAGGGCCATGGCAACTGCTATCGCCCCTTTTCCGTGCCGCCATTATTGTGTTATTGTTTTATTATTGTATTTATTTGGTTTGTTTTTACCTCGGAGCATGTTGTTTTAATTTACAATAAAATACTGTTTTAAGGGGTGGGAGGGTTGGATGGGGAGTTGAATGTTTTAACTTGTGTATTTTAAATGTTGTAACCTGCCTCGATTGCTCCGCAGAGGGGCGGGCTATAAATAAAATTTATTATTATTATTTATTATTAAGGCTCAATGTCTCAGAAAAAAAATCCCATGATTCCCTAGCACTAACCCTAACCCTTAAAGTGGACTCAATTTGCACTATTTCTAGCGGTCTGCAAAGGCCCATAGTTAACCTTCTCTGACAGAGAACTATGGCTTCACAACAAATTACAAATCCCAGAATCCCATAGCAATGAGCTATGGCAGTTAGAGAGATGACAAACTGCATTGTTTCTGCAGTGCAGATTATACCCTAGGATGTAGTGGCTTAGTGGTTAAGACACCAATTCTGATGATCCAAAAATCGGGAGGTTGGAAGTTCAAGGCTCAAGTGCTACATTATGGGGTGAGCTCCTGTCACTAGTCCCAGTTTCTGCCAACCTAGCAGTTCAAAAGCATGCAAATGCAAGTAAAAAAATAGGTACCACTTCTCAATGGCAATCTGTGCAGTCATGCTGGCCGCATAATCACAGAGTAGTCTCTGACAATGCTGGCTTTTTGGCTTAGTAATGGAGATGAGGACCACTCCCTACAGTTGGTTATGATTAGACATTCATGTCAAGGGACTACCTTTACCTTTACTCTGAAGGAGCAGAAAACAACCTTGCCTCTTCTTCAATACGACATCCTTTCAAATATCTGCACTAGCTTATTCCATCACTTGGCTTTTCTACATCATTCATTAGGAAGAATGAGGTAGCTGTCCCAGAGGGCTGCACATCCCCAGTTATGCATCTAATAATCCCATTGCTTGCACACCACTGATCAACAGCAACTTTCCAACAGCAACAGCAAGAAAGAGTCTAAACACATGGAGACTTTATTTGTACACACACTCAAACTCACACACACATGCATGCATTTGTGCACACACGCACACACACAGAGGCTCTGTTAGGACCAATAGTTGAGGAGCTGATGGGAAAAGAAGCTCCTCTTGCTAGGAACTGACACAGCATCTCTTTCCTGTCGTCTCTTGTTGTTGTGTGCCTTCACACCATTTCTGACTTATGACAACCCTGAGGCGAACCTATCATGGGATTTTCTTGCCAAGAGAGGGCTTGCCTTTGCCTTCCTCTCAGGCTGAGAGAATGTGACTTGCCCAAGGTCATGTTTCTGTGGCTGGACAAGGTTATGAACCCTGTCTCCTGAATCATAGTCCAATGCTCAAACCATTACACCATGTCAGATCCATTTTCTTATTACTTCTTGGTGAACACTGTTGACTACACTGGGTGTGATTAGGTTTTGTTTTGTTTTGTTTTGTTACTCTTCACATTGTGTAACATTCATTTAAACAACCAAGGAAATCATAAAAGTTTGCTACTAAGTAAAAGACTTGTGACCTACCCTGAAACTTGGGAGGAATGTGGGGTGGAAGAAATCTAATTAATTTAAAAATAAAACATCAGTGTAAAATCACATAAACATTGTTCCAAGAAAGGAAGCGTGTTTTATTTCTTTTGTATTTGATACCTGAAGATTCTAGTTTTTCTCGTCTGTTCTCATTATTTCCTTTTAGTATCATGTCTCTAGAATTGTAAGATGTTATCTTTTGACAAATCTAAGCCACCTTGAGTACATAAGCCAAAAGCCAAAATAGAAACATAGCTAAATAAAATGAATGCCCAATTAAGCTTCTACACTCTCTCATCACCAAGAAAAGCCTTTGGCAAACCTTTATCTTTTTGCAACCTTAGCAAATGTGTTTATCTTTAGTCACCAAACAGTAAAATCAGCTTATAAAACAGCTGGCCAAGCCTACATGGATGACAGCCAAGATAGGATTAAACCTATGTTTAAAAACAAATGTTTGAGGTTTCTTGGATAAACCAGTTTGGCTATAGCTACCTCCACACTTTATTTAAACTTGGTTGCAATATATATATATATATATATATATATATATATATAT